CTGTGTAAGGTAGCAAGCAATCAAAGGCGGTTTCACTTATGAGAACAAAATGCTTGGTACGTAAGAGACATTATATTAAGTATTTTTTTTAAAAGATTTATTTGAGAGAGTGAGTGAGCACACGGTGAGAGGGGCAGAAGAGGGAGAGAGAATCCCAAGCAGACTGGGTGCAGAGCCCCACACTGGGCTCGATCCCAGGACCCTGAGACCCTGACCTGAGCCGAAATCAAGAGACACCTAACCAACTAAGCAATCCAGGTGCCCCTATATTAAATTAAATGTTGATGCAAGTTGAAACTTAAAGGAAAAGCAGGGTTTGCAGATGGACAATCAATGTAAGGATATTCTAGACAGGAAGATGCCTTATTCGCAAAAGCACAAAGTTTCAGAAAATCCTAAGCAGTTTAGCATAGCTAAAAAATATGGTGCTTGTGACAAGTGGTAAAGAAGTAATATTACGCCAGGTTAGGGAGGTTCTCATATGCCATGTGAAAAAAAGAGTCTGGACTTTATCCTGTAAGAAATTGGGGACCTTTCTTAGACTTTGATCAGGCCATTAGTTTACAAAGATTACCTTGTCAAATATGGAAAAATAGATGTGAGGGTGGGAACAACATTTTAGAAGTCTACCACAAATAGCCCAGGTAATACAATTTATAATTTTTTTGCTTCAGACTCCTATATTTAATTACCTACCTGACATTTTGGACATCTCACAGACATTTCTAGCCTAAATGTCCAAAACCAAAGTCTTATTTCTCCACCAAACTTGGGTGCTCCCTGTTCAATCTCTCAGTAATAGTACAACCATGCAAGTTACTCAAACCAGCAACTTGGGTTCGCTCTTGATTTCTCCCTCTCCTTTACCCACCAAACTAAATCCATTTATTACGAATTATCCCTAAGGCATATCTCAAATGCATCCATTTCTTTCCAGTTCCATCGCCATCCCAAGCTATTACTGCTCAACTGGAATACTGCAATAGCTCCCAAATGGACTCCCTGACATTTTCCTTAATATCAGTTGGTTTCCTTACAGCACTTATTATAATTAGCAATTCCTCTATTTACTTGAATTTTGTCTTTCCCTCCTATTAGAATGCCTTCATAAAATCAAAGACCATAAACTGTCTTGTTTATCATTTTACAGCACACTAGCATCAGCCAGGTCAATAAACAGTATTAACAGAACTACCACATACTTACTATAGGCCAGGCACTATTTTATGTGTTTTATGTATATGAAGTCATTTAATCCTCACAACAACCTGTGATGTAGGTATTCTTTTTTTTTTTTAAGATTTTTTATTTATTTGACAGAAAGAGACAGCGAGAGAGGAACACAAGCAGGGGGAGTGGGAGAGGGAAAAGCAGGCCTCCCGCCAAGCAGGGAGCCTGATGCGGGGCTCGATCCCAGGACCCCAGGATCATGACCCGAGTCAAAGGCAGACGCCTAAAGAATGAGCCACCCAAGCGCCCCTGTGATGTAGGTATTCTCTTGTTAAGAAAACTAAGGCACAGATTGCTAACTAATCTGCACAAGGTCACCCAACAAGTACATGGCAGAACCTAGAATCAAACCTAGGCAGCCTGGAGCCCATTCTCTTGATTATTAGCTAGTACTTCTCTTAGTAGGTGCTCAATAAATATTAACAATATTTATTATTTATATTGTTAATAAACAAATGAGAAGAGGAACAGGTTTAGGGGACATGCTAAGTTTGAAGTACTTGGAGAAGACTATGAAGTACAGAGGGATAGTTACAATAAGCATGCCAAAGGGGCGCCTAGGTGGCTCAGCCAGTTAAGTGTCTGCCTTGGGCTCAGGTCATGATTCCGGAGTCCTGGGATCAAGCCCCACATCAGACTAACTGTTGAGGAGGTAGTCTGCTTCTCCCTCTGCCCCTCCCCCATCTCATGTTTTCCCTCTCTCTCTCTTTCAAATAAATAAATAAATAAAATCTTTTTAAAAAAATAAGCATGCAGAAGTCATCAGCTTCTACTGGAAACCACCTGTAAAATGCAAGCCCCTTTATAATAAAAAGTGATCATATAATTTTTAAAAAATTGGAAATGCTCTTAAACTGTAATCTTTTAGATCCAATTCTGTAATAAAAACATGTTTTCACAAAGCACAGAGAGCCCCCATTGAGCCTTGACTGTATCTGAAAAATTCTGTATTAATAAGAAATGAAATACTTGTCATTAAGTAGCATTCAGTATCTATATAAATGTTAAACTTGTACTTTATTAAAATATAGAAGTGCCGAGATGTACTTTTAATTTGACAAAATGATACCAAAATCCATCTAAAAACATACAAGAAAATATGAGAATAACAAGAAAATACCGAAAAAAGAAAAGTGGAAGCACACTTTACCTACTTGATATCAAAACATAGTCTAAAGTTAGAGAAATTAAGATAATGTGTATGGTTCAAGTCGAAGACAGAACAATGGGGGAAAAAAAACAGAGTCCAAACAAAATCAAGTATGTATAAATTGTAAAATTAAATGTAAGAACAAATTTTAAATTATATATTCATACTATTTTTATTATCTAATTTATAAGCATCAGAAATGTTTTTCTAAGCATCACAAATAAACTAGAAACTATAAATGAAAAAAGGCAGATTTCAAAGTAAAATAATTAAAACTATTTCATGGAAAAACAGCATTAAAATTTAAAAAGACAAATTTCAAAATGAGAGTCAAGGCTTGCAAAATATGAGAGTTAAAAACCTAAGAAGTAATTCCTTTAAAATTAAGAGATTATGATAGCCAATAACAAGCTACTTAAAAGAGATTAAACAATGGACACTACACATATAAAAAATGCTCAACATCAACAGAATTCAGTTACAAACAAAATAATGAAGAATCACTTTTTGCAATCTGATTGGATGGGATAAAAGATGGGAATTGGGTGCTCTCAAATACTGTTAGTAAGAAAGGAAATGGGTACAACCTTTCTGAAGAGCAATTTAGGAATTATAGAGTATTTGTGGTTAAATAACCTACTTCTAAAAAGTTAGATTTACAGGATAATCAGACAAGTATATAAAGATTTGTTCACAAGAGCATTCTTTTTAAATGTTAATAACCGACCCAACAATCCCACTTCTGGGCACATATCCAAAAGAAATGAAAACAGGATCTTGAAGACATATGTGCCCATCCATGTTGGCTGCAGCATTATTCACAATAGCTAAGAGGTAGAAGCAATCTAAATGTCTATTGGCAGAGGAACAGATAAATAAAATGTAGTGTATACACACACACACAGGAATATTAATCAGCTTTGAAAAAGGAAATCCAGTCATACACTACAACATGGATGAACCTTGAGGATACAATGATAAGTCAAATAAGCCAGTCAAAGAAGAACCATAACTGCCATGAGTTCACTCATACAAGTGAATTCAAGTAGTTTAACTCTTCAAAAAAAGTAGAATGGTAGATGCCAAGGGCTGTGGGAGGGGGAAAAGGGAGTTGTACAAAAAGTGCAGTTTCAGTTTTACAAGATGAAAAAGTTCCATGTATCTGTTTAATGACAAGGTACATATACTTGACACTGTTGTACTATACACTTAAAAATGGTTAAGATTGTAAATTTTATGTTTTTTACCACAATCAAAAAAAGTTAATCAAAAATAATATCCATCAAGTAGGAATTATCTTAGAGACATATAATGAAATACCAGATAGCAATCAAAAATGATATTTTAAAAATGACATTAATATATATCCAGTCATATCCACAGCCTATTGTTGAATTAAAAAAAGTTTACAAAAAAACAAGGTAGTATGATAGCATTCATGCAACATTCATGCAAATGTCTGTACCTATAACAGATCTGTAAGGATATTCACCCCAATTTAATGGTGGTATCTCTGGATAACAGTATTACAGATGACCTCCTTTTTTATATTTTCCTTGTTTTTAAATACAATGAGTACATACTATGTACATGACAGAGAATACTTCAAAAGAAGTGACTGCCACCATTTGTTCCAGAATTCTAGAATGGAATTTTACATTTCTCTCTCCCTATGTGTCTATAGCACATATTGGGGAATTAATAAATATTTGAGAGGCAAGATGAGTAGTGATTAAGAGATCAGAAATGAGACAGACCTGGATATGATTCTCAGCTCCAAAATTTACTGATCAAGGCCTTAAAGTCCTAATGAACGTCACTGAACACAAATTTCTTCAACTATAAATGTCACATAACAATACTTGCAGATTATTTCAAGAAAAATGTACTTAAAGCACTTAATATCATTCCTGGCTGGGGAAACACTCAATAAAAAATGACGGCCACAATTACTATTTCTTGACTTGAAGAACTCACAACAAAAACAAAACTAAGCATCTATAGGAAACTACAATGCAAAATTATACTGAAAATCCCAACTGCATTAAGAAAACAAGAGATCTATATTGTACACCTTAAACTAATACTATATGTTAACAAACGTGAAATTAAAATAAAAAATTACCAAAAAAAAAGAGATAATGCTTTGACTGTTGGTCCCACAACACTGATGCTTTACTGAAGGAAAAAAAAAAAAAAACCAAGAACGGTAATGGACCATTTTTGAGTATTAATCCTGTACCCTTCCGTAGTTTATCTCCTTCCAACCAATCTTTAGTAGAGTGTTTGTCTATAAGGGAGTTGGTAGTTCAGAACTTCTAAGACCATTTTTATTCAGACGACCTGAAGCCATGCTTCATGCACGCAAAGCGGCTAAAAACATTAGAGGCACCCTCCACAAATACACGGGTGCAATCTAATCGTGAGCAAGTCAAAAGGTAAGAAAAATGGGACTCTGGGATTGAAGACTAGAGGTGGAGAATGGCATTCCGGACTTAGGAACTACCGCCATCCCATTTCACCCACTCTTTCTTTAAAACACAATTACATGCCGTTCAACTTCCTATCTCTCTCGAAAGAAACTACTGACTTGCCCGCCACGCCACTCCGAAAGCCACACCTGGTGTATTCGCTGCAGAATCTCCAACTCCCGCCACAGGTTTGGCTTGCGTCCGCCCCAAGGCGGAAGTGACTTCAAAGGGACAAACTGAAAGTAAGAGAGTTCAAATACCAGGAATCTAAAACCCCTGCGGCGTTCTGAGAAAACTATTCTCTGACTACCCCTCTCTTTTATGCCTTCTTCTTCTGTTAGGGTGGCAAAAAGGATTCGCCGCACACTTGCAACTTGTTCCCCGCTCCAAACTCCAATCATTTAAGGTCGTCTCCTCTCATTGGTCAACGAAGTGACATGGGTATCTCCCAGGAACTACAATTCCCGTCAGGCCCCACGGGAAGTAAAAGCAGGAAAGGACAGCGGCGGGGGCAAAGCACATTGGGAAATGTAGTTCCCTGCTGGCCGAACAGAGCAGTAACTCCGCCTTCCCCCACTGAAGCTGGAGAAACCAGGTGTTCGGCCTAGAACCCGTTACCGCTAAAGGGAGGAGCCAAGCCCTTAAGCAGCATTCCTCACTTCCCCCTCCCATGGAGGATAAAAATGTTCATTCACTCCAAGAAAGCTCTATAAATATTCCCTAAAGAAATATGGTTGTCTTCCCGATATCTCCAGGTCAGTAAAAACTCCACAGAACTCCTCCACCTCAGGCTCCCAACTCGTGGGAAAAGGTGCCTTTTTTACAAGTGGGCAAAATGGCTGTCCTCTTAGTTTTACCATTGGTTGTCCTTTGCGTCCTTCAAGGGCGGTTACTTATCACCGATTGGTTCTTTTTCTCTTGAGGGTGGAGGAAGACTTGGCACGGCTCTCCCGCGGCCCGGGAGGAGATAAAGGGGTGGAGAGAAGGCAGTTTGTTCAAGCCTGATTGGATGATCCTCCTGTCACTCGGAGGATGTATAACCTATGATTTGTGGACTGCCCCTCAAAGAGAACGAAGAGGCGGGGCTAGTGCGTGGTGGGAAGGGGCGGGATTGTGCCAGCCGCGGCTGCCGCTGGAGCCGGTGTCCGGGCTGGTGATGGGGTTAATTCCCTTTCGTAAGACTCTTACTTGCACCCACCCAGCCCCGCCGTCGCCCCGCCGCGCCGCGCTCCAACCGCCTCCTCCTCCTCCTCCTCCTCAGTAACGCGGGTAAGAGATGCCCTCCCCTCCCCCCTCCAGCTCCCCGGGAATAACGCGCCTCGGTCCCCTCCCCCGCCCGCCAACCGGTAGCGCTAACGGAGAAGGAGGCAGGCAGGGGAGAGATGTGTGTGAGAAGGTGGCCTTCCCCGCCGAGCCATCGGCGCCCCAGCCAGGCCCCCGCCAAGGTGCTGCTGCTGCCAGCCCGCCGGGAGGTCGGGTTCCGAGGGAGCCCGGCTCGCCTGGCCCGCCGCTGCGGCTGTGGCTGCAGCTGCATCCACTACCTTGTGCCCACCGCCCCCACCCGGGGACCATGTGAAAAGCAAACCCCTCGAGGCCTAGCGGAGGAGGCAGGGGAAAGGTTCCCGAGTCCCTGCCATGGCTGCTGCTTGCTGCCTTTGCGGCCCCAGGGACTCGGGAACCAGCCACAGCAGGCCTGCCAGGAGCGGGTGCCGTGCGTGTTTCTGCTCTCTCGGGTGGCTGGCGCCGATGCCTCGGGCTCCCCCGCCCACCCCACGCCTCGGCCCCCGGCCTTGCACCGGGAGAATTTTTAGAAAGGAAATAAGGTGTTCCGACCAGTTGGTAAAATGTAGGCATATCTTGCCTGTGGTACAAGAAAAAAGCACAATGGGATTATTGAAAAGAAAGTTGAATGACTGTCAGTGCCACGGACCCCGGGGGTCAGATTTACACACCTTATGGTTGAGCCTTAGGCTCCAACCTATGTTTTTGAAGTTTTTTTTGTTCCCTTTTTTTGTTACTAGGTGCAGAGGAGAGTGCCTCTGCTTTTTGAGCTTGCTTTTATGTAGAAACAAATTGTTGAGGCTGTCTTGTCCCGTGTGTGATTTCCTGGATAGCAAGTTAAGTAAAAGTAAGGCTTAGTAAATAGCAGATGATTTTTCTAATATGATGTCCCAGAAAATATGTGTATATAGATCTAAGTATCCATGGTTATAGTTTGCCAAATTGTAATTCTGAAGAAACCCTTTGCTGTTAGCTTGTATGTCATTGATTACAAGAACTTTTGAGTAATGAAAGGTGGTTAAAGTCTAACTGGAAGCTAACCTAGTTGTAATATTTGAAAGAATAAGATCTATGTAATATTTAATATAGTCGATACCAGTGTAACTAGAGTAATTGGACATGCTTCAGTTTAATAAAATTTGGCACATTTGAGAGCGATTGCTTTTTCCTCTCATATTGATTAGGCGCTCATCTTTTCACGCCGTGTGTGTGTGTTTTGCGTGGGTATGTCCTTAAATAATGGATTCTATAATTTGTTGTAGACAAGGCTGTATCAAAGGTAAAATTTTAGGCCCACTTCTGAGGCTTAACTTGTTACCAGAGTAAACTTGGCTTCTGAAAAAATAATCAGAGTTTTGACTATGTGTTAGACCATTTCTTCAGGATTTAAGGAGATCCTACTGGCTTAATGATCTTACATGTTCCATAGCTAATATACTTGCACACAGAATTACATAGATCCTACATTCAAGATATGGAAGAAATGTGGATGTGTGCTAAAAAAATGAAACATAACCCTGGAAGGTAAATTCGCACAGCTCCCCACAAAGCACTGATAAGTATATATGTATTCACGTGTCACTCAGCATTTTCTATAACTTGTTGGCTAATTGATAAGTTACAGAATTAATACTTTCACATCTCATATATTTTATGTACAGAAAGGGCTGATGAAAATATAGGAGGCTTTTACATTCTCTTATTAGCTGTGGGACCCTTTTATGAACCTCAGCTCAGTCTCCTCATGTATAAAGTTGGGATGATGGCACTTAACTCTTTGAGTTGTGAGGATTAGAGATGAAGTATATAAAGCTCCTACTATTGTGTTTAATACATAGCATGTGTTATTAAATATTAACTTATTAATGCATCTTAAGAGAATGAGTGATATACATGCACAAGATGTTGAAGCCTCAGAACTTGCTCTGTTATGGCAGAGTACGACGGGAGTTTTCATTTATATAGGGACTTAAATTGGTGCAGTTTGCTGCTAGCCATTTTTCAAAGTAAAAGGTATGTGGGAAACTGGTAATCAGATACTGAAGAGTTGTTGACTTTAGAGAAGGTTTTTAATTTTTGCGTTAAAATCCCCATGTTTGGAATATCTTTGAAATGAATTATTTGGAATAAAAGTATGTGGTAAATTGTTGTAGTGATAAATTGTAAAATCTTTTAAATTTTAGTTAGCTGATAGGTGTTTCAAGGTTTATATTGTTGCTTTCCATATTCACTGTGCTATCAGGCTACTGACAAGCAACTCTTTAATACAGAGTGAAGATTAAGTAAGTCATTTGAATTCATTATGGCCATAGGCTGACTGCAGTTTTGTTGCTGTTTTTAATTCCCAATATTTATCAGTACTTGAGTGTTTCTTTTCTGTGAAACAACATCCCAGATACATTGTTCCTTTCTCTTTTCAGGCACTTTTGAAAATGTATTGGTCTTCACATATAATAGTGTCTTTTGAGTTTGTCCTGGTAGGCAAATTAAAGTTTAACATGAAAAGTTTTATTGTGAAGTCTTCTGATAGTAAGGCCTGGCCAGGGTTCACGGCAGCTGTACCTTATGCTGAATGGTGAATGAACACAGTATGATTGGATGCTCCTTTGGGGAGCGTTACATGGCATCAGCAGAATATTTTATAAAATTGAAATAAACTTTTTCAAAAATTATGCAGAAGAAATGCACTGCCATGCCTTGCCAAATAAAGAGATTTTCTAGTACTGGCACTTTAGAATACCTAATTATACACATTTGAGTTGATGTTAACTTTTAATTCCGCAGAAACAGAAGCACTGAGAGTTGATAAAGTTTTTATTTTCTCCATTCTTGAAAATATTACAATAATAAACACTTAAGACTTGATGGGTTTATAATATATTGTTGCTATTTGAATTAGAAAATTTCACTATTAACACTTTCATGATCTGTTGTAAATACTCTGGCAGTCTGTGTGTCAAAGAGGTGTGGCTACAAATAGCAGTCAACTTTTCAAAAGGCTCTTATAGCTCCAAATCATAGAATCTATACTCTGTCTTTGTAGTCACACCTGTATACAGTGATGATAACTTATTATTTATAATTTATAATTTAAGATAACTAGGATACATAAGGAGCATGTCAGTTTTTTCTCAGTATAATAGTAATTTTTTCCTTAAAAAGTAAAATAGTCTTGCATTTGATCCTGTGAAGTCTCATGTTTACTAGTAATACAGACATGTGCAAAGAATCAAATCTTAAAATCAAACAGAATTTTATTAAGCTACCTTTGCTTTCCAAATAAGGATATGTTATATAAATTAAGCAAATTTGTGTGTACCTGATAAGATGTAAGCATGTGTATCTTTTCCAGAATTTAATTCAATTAGTCATCGGATGATGGTTGAAATAAGAGATGAGTTATTTAATCCTGGCTCAAAGCTAGTTCTTTGTCTTATTTTCCAACAGTTTGGTTTTTTCCCAGATTTTGTCCTTGAAAATTTTGCCTCTTCTTACCTTCTTAGTCTCTACATGTGCCTATTAACTTAAAATTTTTTCCCAATGAGTTTTGAAAACCTGAACTTATGATCTTTGTTGTTCTCTTTGCCTTGTGAACTGTAGATTTGTAACTTTAAAAAAAAAAACTTCTACCTGTAAGCTCACTTCTCTAAGCAAATCGTGGTTTTTGTGCCTTCTTATTTCATAAATACTAAACCATATAGCATGTTTAAATTATTGTTCTTATAGCCTGCTTGACTAGTGCTTTCATCTACAACTGCCTATAAGTACTTTCTCTTGAAAAGAAATTAAGTATGGAAAATAAGTTACATATGTTTTTATTCTTGACCTATCTTCTTGAAGGGCAATAATTTGATATTGTCTTGCCTAAGAGCTTAAAGTACTATGATTTGACTTCTCCCAACTTTAGTTTTATCACTGACAGATAAAAATTAATTTTGTGGGCTAGTTGTACAGTTAACTTTACTAACCTTTCTTCTGCTTTAAAGATATTCCATAACCGGTATATCAACTTATAGTCTGAGTTGGAAGTTTAACTGCAGATTTACCTTGATGCCTTGTTTCTCAATAGGGAGAGAAGCTATGGAATTTAATTACAAAAGAAAGGTCTAATGTTGTGGGGAAAAAAAC